TCGTCAACTTATTTGCCAATAGCTAACCTCGTTTTTAGAAATTAATACATAGAGCATGCTCGAATTAACCCCGTTTGCAGGTGATGAAGGTATATTGCTGCATAAGTAAGGGAAGTTGACGAATGAAAAGTTAAAGGCATCGCTTTTTCACAGAGCTTGGCTGTGAGGTTACCATTAATCTATTAATGTCTTTTTCTAGTAAAATAAAAAAAAAACATGAAAACAACCGAAAAATGCCCCCAGTTAGATTTTATTACCAGATTCGCGTTTGTATATTAATGCATGTATAGTTTATTTGCATCAGATCTGTATCAGATATATCTCGTACTTTTATTATACCCCCCGCTTGAAAAGGGAGGGTATATAGTAATCGGTATGTCCGTCCGTCCGTCTGTTACGCTTTGGGGTATACCCATCTCTTATCCGCGTTTCCTCTCATACCATTGATAGAAATTTGATGAAACTATTACATAATTTTTATCGCACATTGCTATTGTGCACCTCCTATTTTACTTTCTGATCCGACACACGTGGGGATCCGGGTTAGAATAGGTCCTCAGTACCCCCTTGCTTGTCGTAAAAGGCGACTAAATGGGGTGATCCTTCGGAGGAGACCGTATAAACCGAGGCCCCGTGTCACAGCAGGTGTGGCACGATAAAGATCCCTCCCTGCTCAAAGGCAATGGTAACGTCTCCATATCAGTGAAATATTCTGGAGAGGGACGTTAAATAGTATATAATCAATCAATCAATCATATTTTGGGTTTCCCACAGCAAACATAGACACTGCCATTATACTTAAATGGGAGACGGGGGTATCACTTAGTGAGCTCATTGCTCACAGTACCTCTAGTTCCTTTTGTCATGTACCCTGGAAAATTATAATGTTTGCTTCCAATCATACACGCTGTGAGGATGAGAATCAATAGGTTCCTGTTACTGGACCTTGAAACTTTCATTTGTCTGTAGTTTAATTTCTTGTCTCATTTGCCATTTATAAGTGGAGTCTTGTGTCTATCGTTAAAAAAAGATCAATTTCTTGAAAACTTGTATAATGTTTATTGTACTGGCCGATTTTCGGGTGAACTGGTCAATATGTTTAATGCATAATATATAAGAAGGATATGGAAATATATATATTATATATATATACTGTATATATATATATATATATATATATATATATATATATATATATATATATATATATATATATATATATATATATAAAGCACTAAAAAACCAATAACACTGTATATCCTAAATGTCGGATCTACCAAGTAGATACAAGGTCACGGATGGAAATTTATATAAAGCACTAAAAATGACCAACGACACGAACAATAGAAATTGTCAAATTTTCGGGACGCCCTGTCCCTTCCTCAGGACAAAGAAAAAAGTTAAAAAGTCATAAGAACAAAGGAAAAAGAGAAACAAAAACAACTAGCACTACTACTAAACTACTAAACACTAGATATTTACATACTTAATTACATGATGAATTGGAAATTTTTAAAAACACTAATAAAGAAAGAAATCCGGACCGCTATGAAATGCGTCCGGTCTATCGGGTATACTCGGGCGAAGTGCGATTTACATAACTGAACGAATTAATTATGCTAATTAATTACGACAATCAGTAAATCGTACATTGTTTCATTCTCTCAAAATGGCGTAACTTTACTTAATAAAGAATAATCGAAGAAAAATAATATAGCAGGGATATTTAAACATATGAATTATGATCAATTATAAATTTTGAAATATTTAAGGACTTATTACCGGGAAAAAAATAATTAACAAAGGTGTAAGCAATACATAGTTATGAGAGTTGTTCGAGAGTTGGTGACGCAAATTAACTGTAGAGTTTACACTAAATTGAGAGAATAATCTTGTTTAGTATCATCAGGAATATATATATATATTATATATATATATATATATATATATATATATATATAAAGTATATTATATTTGTATATATACCATTATATATATATATATATATATATATATGCATCCAGAACTTTTCTTTGCTTTTTCTCTGAGCATCTGTCCATCTTGGGTTATGGTCAATCACCACTACTGTCATGTCCTCCCATTTGTGACCCTCAAGGTTGAAATGTTCCCCAACGGGTTCATTGAGTTTTTTGGTCCTAATGGTCGAACGGTGGTTATTGACTCTCCTGCGGAGATCTCCTGTTTCACCAATATACTGTTTGGAGCAAACTTTGCAACTGATGAGATAAATGCAGTTTTCAGTATGACAGGACAAATTCCCTAGTATTTTGTAGCTGCGGCCTGTAACAGGGCTGTTAAAACTGTCTGTGTCAGTGCTGTGCTTACAAAGAAGACATCTTCTGTCAGAGCAAGTTTTAAAGCCCCCGTTAGGTAATGGGTTGTCCAGTCTGGTTCTTACTACCATGTCCTTTAGGTTCCTTGGGCGTCTGTATGCAGCCAATGGGGGTTCCTTAAAGACCTCTGCCATTCGTTTGTTTGAATGGAGAATTGGTAGGTTCTTTTGAAGGATACCGCTAAGGTTCTTAAGGACGGGATGGTATGTGGTTACCAGAGGGACCCTGCCGCTATTGTCTTTCTCCTTGTAGCGTAATAGGTTTTGCCTGTCATGTCCCGCCATCTCATCAATAGCTGTTTGTACGGTGCGGGCATTGTAGCCTCTTTTGCATAAGTGGGACTTAAGAAGACCACTTTGCTCCTGATATAAGGCAGGGGACGAACAGATGCGTCGAATTCTGGTGGCTAGACCCTTAGGCACTCCCTTAAAAGTGTGTGGGGGATGACAGCTAGAGGGCATAAGATATAGGTGGGAGTCTGTGGGTTGTTACTTCAAGCACCATTTAGGCCCCATAGCTGGTTGCGTTTCATAGACGATATTGAGATGAAGTGGGTGGAATGTCGCGAGAGCCTCGAGGCATTCATTACGTTTGCCAACACCTTTCATCAATCGATCAAATTTACAGTAGACGTATCTAATTCGAAAAACGTATTCCTAGATACTACATCTACCCTGATTGATGGTGAAATCGAATTCAGTCTCCACACCAAACCCACAGACTCCCACCTATATCTTATGCCCTCTAGCTGTCATCCCCCACACACTTTTAAGGGAGTGCCTAAGGGTCTAGCCACCAGAATTCGACGCATCTGTTCGTCCCCTGCCTTATATCAGGAGCAAAGTGGTCTTCTTAAGTCCCACTTATGCAAAAGAGGCTACAATGCCCGCACCGTACAAACAGCTATTGATGAGATGGCGGGACATGACAGGCAAAACCTATTACGCTACAAGGAGAAAGACAATAGCGGCAGGGTCCCTCTGGTAACCACATACCATCCCGTCCTTAAGAACCTTAGCGGTATCCTTCAAAAGAACCTACCAATTCTCCATTCAAACAAACGAATGGCAGAGGTCTTTAAGGAACCCCCATTGGCTGCATACAGACGCCCAAGGAACCTAAAGGACATGGTAGTAAGAACCAGACTGGACAACCCATTACCTAACGGGGGCTTTAAAACTTGCTCTGACAGAAGATGTCTTCTTTGTAAGCACAGCACTGACACAGACAGTTTTAACAGCCCTGTTACAGGCCGCAGCTACAAAATACTAGGGAATTTGTCCTGTCATACTGAAAACTGCATTTATCTCATCAGTTGCAAAGTTTGCTCCAAACAGTATATTGGTGAAACAGGAGATCTCCGCAGGAGAGTCAATAACCACCGTTCGACCATTAGGACCAAAAAACTCAATGAACCCGTTGGGGAACATTTCAACCTTGAGGGTCACAAATGGGAGGACATGACAGTAGTGGTGATTGACCATAACCCAAGATGGACAGATGCTCAGAGAAAAAGCAAAGAAAAGTTCTGGATGCACAGATTGAAGTCATTCCGCCCTAATGGTATTAACAAACTGAATGACTTTACCAGAATGAACGTAAACTAGACCCAATTCCTGATGATACTAAACAAGATTATTCTCTCAATTTAGTGTAAACTCTACAGTTAATTTGCGTCACCAACTCTCGAACAACTCTCATAACTATGTATTGCTTACACCTTTGTTAATTATTTTTTTCCCGGTAATAAGTCCTTAAATATTTCAAAATTTATAATTGATCATAATTCATATGTTTAAATATCCCTGCTATATTATTTTTCTTCGATTATTCTTTATTAAGTAAAGTTACGCCATTTTGAGAGAATGAAACAATGTACGATTTACTGATTGTCGTAATTAATTAGCATAATTAATTCGTTCAATTATGTAAATCGCACTTCGCCCGAGTATACCCGATAGACCGGACGCATTTCATAGCGGTCCGGATTTCTTTCTTTATTAGTGTTTTTAAAAATTTCCAATTCATCATGTAATTAAGTATGTAAATATCTAGTGTTTAGTAGTTTAGTAGTAGTGCTAGTTGTTTTTGTTTCTCTTTTTCCTTTGTTCTTATGACTTTTTAACTTTTTTCTTTGTCCTGAGGAAGGGACAGGGCGTCCCGAAAATTTGACAATTTCTATTGTTCGTGTCGTTGGTCATTTTTAGTATATATATATATATATATATATATATATATATATATATATATATATATATATATATATATATATATATATATATATGGAAATATATAAATAAATATTGTAATTTATATGAAAGAACATATAATTTATAGTTTTTGATAATTTCCTGAGTTATGATACTTTTGACAACTTTCCAAGTTTGAGATTTTTGTAGATTTCTCCACATTTCTGACAGTTTGGATGATATCGCCTAATACACTCGATGACGTCAACTCGCCGTGACGGTTCAGGGTAGAAATAAGAAGTCATGTCGTAGATAGTGTATCCATGAGAGCTTAGCAAGGGCAAAACTCCCTCTTTGAAATGGTCTTTTGTTTTGTATCTGAAACAAAAGCAAGTAACTTAAGAGTAAAAATCTATAAGTTCTGTAAAATTGCTACCTACTTACACTTGGTACTTACCTTATTTCATCAATTTTGCTGTAAGGAAGACGGAATAATTCCTGAGCTAGTCCTTGCCAGGTGGAAATACTTTTATATTGTTTATCTGGATCGAGTAATGTTGACAGATCATCTACAAATTGGACACTGTTTTCCAAAGCACCGTCCAGCACCGCGGCTACCGTTGGACAGGGATCTAAATAAAAAAAAATTATACTCATTTATATAACTAAATTCAATTCAAATATAGACTTGCATTGCAAATGTTTGATATAATAAGCATGTAAAACATAGAAATCTTTGCTAATACCATATCTCGAACCCTTTCTAATAGAAGACGAGCTATACATAGACAGAAAAATAACGAAACAAGATTGTATGACTAGGACAACACCAATGTGAAGTATTCATGAAAATACCTGGTTTAATAGAATTGGCTCTTTCTGGAGGGTACTTGAAGAATGCCACATTCTCTTCGAGCTGTTCACTTCTGAGTGAGTCTGTTTTTGGAGGTATGGAGTTGACATTAGAAGTTGAAAATGATGAGAGGGATGGAAAATATTGAGAATCATCCTGCAAATGTTCTGTATAATTGAGGTATTAGTATCCTGACTATAATTACAGTCACTGTATCGACCACTGGCTTCAGAGATCATTGTTTCCAAAGGGACATTGCTGGAAGAATCACTCCTTCTATTTAAGTCCTGTGAGGTGTTTGAATTTAGATCATTTTGATCCGAGGCATCTTTCTGGAGTTGGACATCATGGGTTCTGTTTGCTATCTGGTTTGTTTCCGGACACTTTTGACTTCCAGGTTCTATCTCGCACCCCAGAACAACAGGCAGTTCAGTATCATTTAAAGCATCGTCTGTATCTGGAGAGTCACATATTCTTTTCATCAGATTTGGGCATTTCTTGTACAAACGTCGTTGCACAATGAGGAGAGTGAAAAATATAAGGAGGAGACACGCTATTGGCACTATTATTTCCAAGTGCAAATTTTTCGATGGTGAATCAATGTTCTCAACTCTCAGAGCTAAAAAAAAAAATATGTGAAATATGTTTTATCAATACTAGTACGCTATTCGTATGTTATAAATAAAGATTAGAAATGCTTGGAAAGAAAAGCATACCAAGTGAAGAACAGACACCAGACTGTAAAGTGTTGTTCCACTTTAGTTTTTCAGTACATCTGATTTTGACGGTAGCACCATTGAAACATTGAAATAGACAGGACACATACACTGGCACTGAGGACACCGATACCCCCTTAGGACACGCCCACTCGCCGGTACCAGCACTCACATTGGGTAAGGGACCACAACCTGTTGATTGGCAACGGAGCATAAACACCATATTTTTGCTGTTTTATTTTGGAAGGTACTACATTTTCTTAATTTTTTTTAAAAGATTGATTTCTTTAAGGACAGATGATACAAACAAGTTTTTTTTTTCTTTGAAAAAGATTTAATATCATGTCACAAGTTTAGAAAAGTCGATGGTTCTTGGAATTTTTTCTCTGAAGTACTGGAAAATGAAATAGACTTGGAAAATATCAAATATAGACAAATCACATTCAGTAAAGGTTTACAGGTGAAAATAAATTTCATAATATGTTATCTTGGTGCTAAAAGTGTAATATAAACTTTAGAAAAATATACCAAGCCAGGTGAATTTTAAGAGGAAGATCAAAATGAAAAAAAATTAGCAATATCACATAGGCTGATTTTTAACTGTTAGCTTTTCCTCATAAAATTCACCTGGCTTGGTATATTTTTCTTAAGTTTATATTATACTTTAAGCACCATGTTAACATATTCTGAAAATTGTTTTCACCTGTAAACCTTTACTGAATGTGATTTGTCTATATTTGTTTTTTTCATTGAAATATTACTAATATTTTCAAATTCTTTTTTGTCATATTCCAGTTCTTAAGAGAAAAAATTCTTAGAACCATCCACATTTCTAAACTTGTGACATGATATTAAATCTTTTTCAAAGAAAAAATTTGTTTGTATCATCTGTTCTTAAAGGCACTTTTTGGATCACCTAATTTTTTCTCTGATCTGAAGAAGTATTCAGTAACCCTTAATAAAAACAGCAGGACCAAGATTTTTGGGAGAGCATGTTGTTCAAATTCAGAACTAGAGCGTATCAAAATTCTTAGTTTCTCTTAATAAAAGAAGCAGAAAGAGACCCAAATCCAAAGGGAACAAAAAAAAAACAAAAGGAGAAAAAGAATATGTAAATTATACCTGGCGATCTTAAGTTCACTGAATGGTAGTAAGGATAAAGTCTGGTGTTCTTCTCGATATCTGTTAATTCATCTTTGTTTTGGTAGTAACATTCCTCAGAAAAAGCAGGAGAATCTAACAAGCTGGCACTGGCGTTGCCATAACGACAAAGGTATTTGTCACCTGACTCCAAAGTAACATAACTGTATATAAATAAAAATCATTTAATAGCTAGGTACGACGGCGTATTCGTGCCATTTTAACAATGTAGAAATTTTTTATTAAATCGTTTGTACGATTTACTAAATCGTTTGTACGATTTACTAAATCGTTTGTACGATTTACTAAATCGCTTGTACGATTTAACAAATCGTTTGTACGATTTACTAAATCGTTTGTACGATTTAACAAATCGTTTGTACGATTTACTAAATCGTTTGTACGATTTAGTAAATCGTTTGTACGATTTACTAAATCGTTTGTACGATTTAATAAATCGTTTGTAAATCGTACAAACGATTTATTAAATCGTACAAACGATTTATTAAATCGTACAAACGATTTAAACAAATATTTTTACATTGTTTAAATGGCACGAATACGCCGTCGTAGCTAGGCTATTCTTATTTTTTGTTTATTTTTAATAATAGAGTACCATCTAAACAGGAAACTCATATGTGTACGACTTATATCAAGCAAACCGCAAGATTTAAAAACTGGGACAAAAGTCAAGATGTTTATACCAGGACATTATTTTAAATCTGTTCAAGGCCAATACTTACTATCGCCCAGTCTCGCCAGCATCTTTGTCCACAAAAATATCTTCTGGAGGAACTGTTTCCTTGAAAAGAAATGTTAACATTACAGTTTCATTATTAATTGCATGAATATGAATATGATTGATTGATTGTATATTGTTTAACGTCCCTCTCGAGAATTTTTCACTCATATGGAGACGCCACCATTTGCCGGTGGAGAGCTGCAAATTTTGTCCTTTACTCGGCACTCAGGGCCATGAGCAGGGAGGGATCTTTTTCGTGCCAGCACCTACTGCGACACGGGACCTCGGTTTATACGGTCTCATCCGAAGGACCGGTCAACGTCCCGCAGTGGGATTCAAACCCGCGACGTAAGGATTGACTCCTTACTTCGCGACTCTAGAGCATACGCTCTAACCACTGCGCCACGCGGGTGACAATATGAATAATAAAACGGAAATTGGTTTTGTGATTTAATTTCGTTTTAACGTTAGACCTACGTTCTTATATAAATTCTTAAACACTAAAAAATATTAATTCTCAGATCATACAAGAAGTATGAAACTGCCTAAGTACTGGGGCTGCACTACTGAGGTAATACGTGTTGTGTTACGGGAACTCAGGGGACCTCTCTGGTGACGGAGTGGATAAACATAAGTTTGTTTCTTCTCTTTCATACGGTCGTAAGACCTAAATAAGGCAGACGGATGCAGGGGATGAACAGGTAAGTGTTTCACAGTACACCAAAGCACGTAAGACCTGAATAAGGCAGTCACTTGGTTGTAGGGAGAGGTGGCATACCACAATTAGAGGTGGGGGAAGTTCCAAGATGCAGCAGTAATAGTGGAGAGGCAGGGCAAGAAGAAAATTACTTGCGGGAGACACCCGTTGACCACAGTTAGTGGTTGTCCAATCAAGAAGAAACCCCATTGTATTTGTATATATTTGATTATAATCGTATTGGTCAACAAAAATCTGAATTAACAGGTTAACGAACCTGAGTGTAACGCCTCGGTGGTACAAGACAAATCACCAAACACCAAGCTCGGCCGCGTTGCACGTTACATTATTTGGTGGCAGCGGTGGGATTTTGTTGACCATGGCTTCGTCTAAGAAAGTGTCAGAAACTATAGGGCGTATGGAGAATATCTTAGAAAAGATGAGAACGCCAACCAGCAACGATGGTCAGACAAATGCGGCAAGCCAAGAGTCTGGATATGCGACACGCAGTACTGATAAACAACCGACCGGTATGTCAGGAGATGTGTCATTTGACGAGTACGGCGCACGGCCTACAGTTAGATTTCCAGACGAAGGCAAACCAAGCTACACACCAATTGCTGGGGTTGACGACGTGGTGACGAGTCATCTGTTTGACACGCCAAAACCACGGAGGCAGTCAATAGGGACAGACAATGCCAAGACAGGCCATATAATCAAGCCAGCCACGTATGACGGAACCAGTTTCTGGCTTGACTACAAGTCACATTTTGAGGCTTGCGCTATTGTAAATGGCTGGGCAGAAGATAAGAAAGGTCTTTACTTAGCTGTATCACTGCGTGGCCAAGCATAGTCAGTGTTAGGTGACTTACCAAACGATACTGGACAGCACTTTAAGACCCTCGTCAGATCCCTTGAGGAGAGGTTCTCCCCTCCAAACCAAATAGATCTGTATCGTGTTCAGCTAAAAGAGCGACGACAAAGAGCATCTGAGTCAATACCAGAGTTAGGCCAGGCCATTAGACGACTAACTAATTTGGCCTACGCATCAGCACCTGGTGAGGTGCGAGAAATTCTCGGCACAGATGCATTCATCGGTGCCGAGGGAGATGTCGCAAAGTGTCAGACATTGCAAAGAATTGTATATAGATGTAAAAAAAAAATTGTAAATAGTTAATCATATGCGGGACGCATATAATCTTGAGGGGAGGGTAATGAAACGGAAATTGGTTTTGTGATTTAATTTCGTTTTAACGTTAGACCTACGTTCTTATATAAATTCTTAAACACTAAAAAATATTAATTCTCAGATCATACAAGAAGTATGAAACTGCCTAAGTACTGGGGCTGTACTACTGAGGTAATACGTGTTGTGTTACGGGAACTCAGGGGACCTCTCTGGTGACGGAGTGGATAAACATTAGTTTTTTTCTTCTCTTGCATACGGTCGTAAGACCTGAATAAGGTAGACGGATGCAGGGGATAAACAGGTAAGTGTTTCACAGTACACCAAAGCACGTAAGACCTGAATAAGGCAGTCACTTGGTTGTAGGGAGAGGTGGCATACCACAATTAGAGGTGGGGGAAGTGCCAAGATGCAGCAGTAATAGTGGAGAGGCAGGGCAAGAAGAAAATTACTTGCGGGAGACACCCGTTGACCACAGTTAGTGGTTGTCCAATCAAGAAGAAACCCCATTGTATTTGTATATATTTGATTATAATCGTATTGGTCAACAAAAATCTGAGTTAACAGGTTAACGAACCTGAGTGTAACGCCTCGGTGGTACAAGACAAATCACCAAACACCAAGCTCGGCTGCGTTGCACGTTACAATATGAATGCATGTATATAAGCTTGTTTTCTCTAAATCATGAGATGTGAAATATTTAATCTTAGTCCCTTCATCTCAGTTACTTATTATGTAAATACTGCATGTAACTGAGGGTAACATTGAATATTTTCAACCCAAGAAAATGTCTGAGCCTCGGCTGACAAATGTTTTCGAGGGGTGAAATATGTTTATTGTTTCCTTCAACTACATGTATTTATTCAATTATACTGAATATTTTATATTGATTATTTAGTTATTAGACAGATAAAGGCGATTATTGATACTTAATCGCATTTCTTTCTTAAAGCCACCCTACCATCTCTACCTCCCTCCTCAACAACCCCACTCGAAAAAGCAGAGAGACAAGCAAGCAGATATAAACATTGAGCATCATCTGATCATATTTAGTCATTGAAAAACTCCCAGGGTGACACTCGAATCCTAAAAATAGATAAAAGTAAAAACAAAAATTAACACATTGTATCAATGCGTGATTAACAATATGTGATTGTAAGCAATAAGTAATAAAATAGAAAAAACACATTTTAATTTCAATAATGTTGGATTTTAGCGTTTGGTAATTTATACAACGTAACAGCATGTGGCACTATGAGATGATAAGCAATTGGTAAAAGGTTTAAATGACTGTCTTTTCGATAAGAACGTAATTTCCTTACCATATTGTCATATGTTGTCATCAAGTTGATCATTTACAGGCACCAGTATATTGTTTTTGCTATTCCAAGTTCGATAAATCCATATTTAAAGATCACCATTAGAACTGTGAAGAAAGCACTGGCAAAAGTGGAATAAGTTGCATGATAATTGAGTTTCCTCTTCAAATATATTGTAGTAAACCCAAAGATATCCAGAAACACGTGCTGGTCACAATTTAAAACAACACAATTTGGAAAGCTCTTTGTCGATATTCTCAATTCATGTCTCAATTCAACGTTTGTGTGCACTCAAAACAAAATACTTAGCGGTTTTCCTCTTACCGGAAATTGCAGCTGTGTAGCAAAGAACCGATTACGGATAATTTATTGAAACCAGAAAGATATTTTAACACTTCTCTTAGTGCTAGTTACTAATGAACAATGGGGAATACTAGAGTATGTTGAAATTTATCAAACTATTCCTTGAAATTTTTTAATCTTTCCGCATTCAAAAGGAATCGTTTCGTGTTACGTATACATGACGTATTTCTATATAGGCCAAACAGTTAAGCATGTTGTAGGAGTAAAACATCTTTTACGTCATTCAATGTCTTATTTTTTCTCCAGGCTCATTAAAATTACACGAATTAAGATAAACTCTGCTTCTTTGATATACCATGTTTCCGGGAAGTATATTCAACAGTTCACGGAGTACGGATATTAGACATGACCTCCTCCCCCATTTATTATCTTTTTGAAAGTAAAAATACTCAGTAATACATTTCCATTTTCCGATCATGAAAAAGTTGAGTCACTTAATATACTAGGGTTGTTCGAAAAGTTCGTGAACTTCTATCATATCTTTTTTTTTTATTTTACGTCATATGTTATCCAAATTTGGTAGAAATATTCTAACAATATTTCCAAATGATTTGTATTAATTTTTTTTTTTAAATTTCACATTATTCAAAACTTATGCAGATTTTAAAATTGCAAAAATCAGATCGCGGAACAGGTCAAAATTGAGTACATTACCAACAATACACTAAATAAAGTTTGTAGTCATATTCTCTCAAAAATGGAGGAAAAACGAAAAACAACCTAGAAATTCTTATCAAGAATTGTTACATCGATTCGTTTTCCAAATTATTATTATTATTATTTTTATTTTTAATACATTTATTTCCAATAACATACAACGAATTTGGAGGCAAAACTTCCTCAGAAGCGGTTAATACCTCACCTGGGGTGCCAGGAGCTCCCTGGATCGGTATATTTTTCAATTTTCAATTTACAAAAGTTTACAATAGAGAAAAACTAATATTTCATTTTCACAAAAAGACATAAATATTTCAGTGAAAAACATTTCATATTAAATAGATATATAGATAAAATATCAATTTAATTACAACGTATATAGAAAAATAAAGATTATAATTCGTCTGCTAACTTTTTAAAAAGATAGTAGTTAGATTTAACACTTTTGCACTCTTTGCTATTACATAATACTGATACATTCCAAATTATGGCTTAATATTTTGGCTTTTTGGGAAGAAATCAACTTGAGAAGATAGGTAGTTCTCATTGAAAACGACAAAAACGATGGCGTTTTAGAACGTCACGGAGCAGCAGATAACTATACAAAATTGTGTTTTACTCAGGAAAAATCCTGAATAAACTCATAAAATGTAGGAAGAATAAAAAAAAAAAAGTATGTCACAAGCGAGTTGTGCATGTGTGTATAAATGGTATAGGCAGTATTTGAGTGACAGAGAGTCTGTATCGGATGAGGACAATCTGTGAAGAAACGGTTTAACTGTAAAAATCTGAACAAAAACTTTTAAAATTTGGAACGTCAAGGAAAGACAGTTGCTTATCCTGTGAAAGCAGAGTTAATTAAATAATATAATAAATTAAACCCTAACAAAGAAAATTATACAACGAAAGCAATTCTTAAAAAATAAATAGCAAGTATTAAAAAAAGGATTTAATGAGTGGGCACTGGATTATATTGTACGAAATCAAATGTATAGGGATTGTGTTTATTAGAAATTCTTGACGTTAGATTTTCGTTTTAAAAGTGTACTCCACGGGTACAAAAAAAAAGTTGATTTTAAAGTGTAATAAATTATTTTCTCTTAAATATAATAGAATGAAACTTCACACATCAACAAAACAAATATTTTTACATATTATATTGTGCTTATTTTAAATTTCTAGTGAGTAGTATAACGAAGATCGACATCGTCCACGAACTTTTCGAACAACCCTCGTATATTTATATCTTAAGTAGAGGACTTTTAAAATTTGAGAGAAAGTACCAAATACCCATTCTGCAAAGATAGGTTAAGCAATGTCAATTGTCATTTAAAATCGGGAAATAATTGGTAAATAAATCTATTTGACCCGAAATATTTTACATTAGTCACAAAACGTTAAAAGCAACAATTCTGACTTTTTTTCCAGAATCGTTACGCATGCTATTATATATCTTTTAAGGAAAACACATTTCTCATAAATTAGCTCATATTTTGTCTCTATTTAAAAAAAATATTACCCATCTGTAGCATATGTAGCATTATAAACCTGTTTAACTTTTTATTAGAATATATATATCCAATATATGGGGCAGTGGTTGAGCGTCTACTCTAGAGTCGCGAAGTAAGGAGTTTATCCTTACGTTGCGTGTTCGAATCTCACTGTGGGACGTGGTTATCGGTCCTTCGGATGAGACTGAATAAACCGAGGTCCCACATCGCAGTAGGCGCTGGCACGAAAAATATCCCTCCCTCCGCAATGGCCCTTTGTGTCGAGTATAGGACAAAATTTGCAGCACTCCACCGGCAAGTGGTGGTGTCTCCATATGAGTAAAATTCTTGTGAGGGACGTTAAACAAAATACATTTCGATAAATCAATACCCAAAAAAAGGTCTGAGTGGTCTGAATGAAATACTCAATTCATTCAAACCCTCAGTAAAGCTTTAGGCTTTCATTCTACCTTCAGAAGCTTAACAACATATGTTGTACAACATAAAGCTTCTAAAGATAAAAAATACCCCATAAGATTGATTACAACTAGAGAGAAACTGATGTTTAATAAATACTAGTTACTATACTAGATAAGGAATTCGAGTATACTTCGTTTCAAATAATCTATTTTAAAAACTCAGAATATTTCCTCATTTAAACCGAATTCTCGGCATCCCTTCTCACTTTAGTATTACGTAATTCTAAAGGTGTAACAGGGTCACTGTAGAATTCCACTACAAAACTAAATTATGTAGGTTAAAATATTGTAGGTCATTTGGTGCTTTTATATACTTTCTCCGAGTTCATTTTTTAGTGAATGGAAAATACAGTTTTACACGGATGCTAATTCACCACAGTATGTTTTAGGGAAGTATGGCCAAAACAATGTTTTTCAAAGAATTCAAAGTGTACGGAGGACCTCTAATTTTCATAAAATACGACTGAATTCTAGATCTGATATTTTGAAAATTTCTTTAAAATAATGGCATCATATGAATGGTTAATGCTGGTCGTGATTGTTCCTTTATTTACATGTATGGCGACTCTATTCTTAAAGGCGGATTCTAAGTTATATAATTCATAAACTATTAAAGGACATCGAACGGTCGCCGTGTTTTCCATTGCACAGTCATAATACATGAAGTTTGAGGATTTTTGAATAGTTTCCGGTAAACTCTCTGAGTAATTGTCCATAATATATGTAATGTATGTCTATGCTATTAAAACAATTTTTATTGCATGATTCATACATGTACTGTGAAACTTTTTGACATCCTTTATGATTTTCAGTTTTGTCATCAAAAGCTTTTTGTCTGTCTATATATATTTTATTTGAAGAGTTTTGCGTAATACTAAACTAAAACCAAGCCCTGAGGGTTTATTTTTTCCCTTTTCATGATAGGTGGGGTATATAATCTATGTTTAACAAATGTCAAGGAAAAGATTTGAGTCGCCAAATAGCATTTTGTTCATAAAACAACAAAATGAGGCATGTATTTTTGAGTTTGTAAATAAAAATTGTAACCGGAAGCAGAACAACAAAATAAAGAACAAAATAAAACAGAAAAACAGGATTGATTCGACCTTTATTTTTTTTCTTAAGTTTTTGTGACTTCATTTTTAAATTCTATTCTACAAATAGATTTATATACTAGTCTATGTCAAAAGTGATTACCATTTGAAAAAAAAGTATCGAGTTAACAGCAGTACCCGATTAATGAACAGTCGAACGATGTGAGTCTTGTTTATAAAATGTTACAGTACTCACTAGCTCGGATAGAAAACACTGTGGTGTATATTTTGAAGATGTGTCTTTATATTTTAAATATATACCCTCCCCGTTTCACACGGACTTTTTCAGTGCATATAAAAGGATTGCCAAATTGCAAAAACGCTCTTAATATTACTGGTACTACATTAAATGTATACCATGGGCAAGTGTGTTTTTATTTGATCAGGTGTTATGTAACAAAAAAAAATGTCCGAATAACCCGTTACTCGATATGGGAATGTCGGCATGTATCCTGATACTAAAAATCGTCCGATTTAACAATATTAACAAATACTAGTATCCTGTCTGTCACCCACGAGGGCAGTGGTCAGATCCTGAACTCTAGAGTTGCAGAGTAAGGCGTTTAATCCTCACGTCGCGGGTGCGAATCCCACTGCGGGACATGTATACTGGTCCTTTTGAGACCGTATAAAGCGAGGTCTCGTATCGCAGAAGATGTCACAAATTAAAAGCTCCGTCTGTAGCATCAAGTGCCGAATATAAGTCCAACCAGTGATTTTTTTCTCAATTCAATTTTTAACAAACTGCTGTATTTTAAATTACTGGTAGTATTAAATTGGAATTTATGACTTTTTACCTTCAAAAATACTCAAATTATGATGCGTCCATTAAATTATTAGATTTAAGACTATTGAGATTTCTCCACATTTTTGACAATTTGGATGATAACGCTGAATACATTCGATAACGTCAACTCGACGTGACGGCAGAAGAAAGAAGTAATTTTTCACGTCATAAACTGTATATCCATACGAACTCAGTAAGGGCAAGATGCCTTCCTTAAAATGGTCTTTTGTTTTGTGTCTGAAATTAAAAAAGAGAAATAACTAGAGCCGAGCTCGTTGCAAAGCAACGAGTAGGTCTTCCGTCCTGTTTGACCGGAAGTAACTTTCATAAAAGATAAATAGTAATGAAGTCCCAAAATTGTTTAATCCTCCAAATCTATGTTAATTATTGCAAAATTAAGTCATTTTTGGCAACTTCCGGTTTGACCGGAAGTGACGTCGACGGACGGAAAATTAAGATTTAAGCTTCATGTGACATATGATATCCAAAAACCTGTCAAGAACTGGAAAAATATGCAATTTTTGACTACTTCCGGTTTGACCGGAAGTGACGTCGCCGGACGTATTTTGACGATTGCATTAGATAAAGCTTGATATTTTGAACAACTTTGCTTCTTTGACGTATTACAAATTCTCAATACTTTCTGAGATATAAAGGAAAAACTTTCGGCCCCTTTTGGCCCTTAATTATAGGGGCCAGCCCCTTATCGTTGATAAAAAGATCGTGACATCTTCACAACTAATACATGTCTTTACAAAATATTAACATGTAAAAAGATACTGCCAAAAATGTGTGAAAAATTTCGAAATTCACGAAAGTCTTTTTTCGAGCCATAGCGAGCGCCGACGTGCTGCCCTTCCGGAGAATAAGAAAGGTGTGTGTCACATCAGCACATGTTGCTCTATCATCGCTGAAAATCTTACGTTTCTATCTAAAAGCACTTTTGAGAAAAGTGCTGGACAATGTGACCCTCTGAAAATCACTAAATCGCGGAAATCTCGAAACCGGAAGTGACGTAATAAAAATAAAAAATTATATATCAGGTTTGATTGATGTTCCATCAGTCCTGAAAGTTTCATGAAAATCGATCGAGCCGTTTCCGAGAAATCGCGTGCACAAAATCGGTAAGAAAAAAAACAATAAAAGCCGAGCTCGTTGCAAAGCAACGAGTAGGTCTTCCGTCCTGTTTGACCGGAAGTAACTTTCATTTAAAAAAAAAAGATAAAGAGTAATGAAGTCCAAAAATGGTTTAATCCTTCAAATCTATGTTAATTATTGCAAAATTAAACCATTTTTTGCAACTTCCGGTTTGACCGGAAGTGAGGACGACGGACGAAAAATAAAGATTTTTCCAACATATGATTCCAAATTCCAAAAACCTGTCAAGAACAGCAAAAATATGCAATTTTTGACTACTTCCGGTTTACGGAAGTGACGTCGCCGGACGTATTTTGACGACGCCATTAGATAAAGTTTGATATTTTGAACAACTTTGCTTCTTTGACGTATTACAAATTCTCAACACTTTTTGAGATATAAAGGAAAAAATTTCGGCCCCTTTTGGCCCTTTATTATAGGGGCCAGCCCCTTATCGTTGATATCTTTTGAAAGATCGTGACATTCTTCACAACTTTTGTTCTATATGTGTTTACAAAATATTAACGTGTAAAAAGATATTGCCAAAAATGTGTGAAAAATTTCTAAATTCCCGATTGGTCTTTCTTCGAGCCATAGCAAGCGCCGAATCGCTGCTTTTCCGGAGTATAAGAAAGGTGTATGTCACATCAGCACATATAGCTCTATCATCGCTGAAAATCTTACGTTTCTATCTAAAAGAGAGAAAAATGCTGGAATTTGTCTGAAAATCACTAAACGAAAATCTCGAAACCGGAAGTGACGTCATAAAAATAAAAAATTATCTATCAGGTTTGATTAATGTTCCGTCAGTCCTGAAAGTTTCATGAAAATCGATCAAGCCGTTTACGAGAAATCGCGTGCACAAAATCGGTAAGAAAAAAAAACAATAATAAAAATAGTGGAAAAGAAACCTAAGAATAACAAGAAGGTCTTCCGCTGAAGACGGAAGACCTAAATTATACGCTTATGGTCATGAACAATTGAACAATTATGCGTATACTAGTATAATGGATAATAACAGCGCACCTGCTTTCCATGATCTTATTATAAGATAGACCGAGGAACGCCTGGGCCATTCCCTGCCAGTTATGGGGGTTTTTATATTGTACGTCTAGGTCTAGCAAGGTAGACAGGTCATCTACGAAGTGGATGCTGTTGTCCATAGCACCCTCCAACATCGCAGATATTGTTGGACATGAGACTTAAAGGATAAAATGCTCAGATTAGGCATATGCATTGTAAAGCAAAAGAATGTTTTAAAAAGATAAAAATATTATAATATTAGTACATGTACATTGTACTCACCAGGACAACTCTTTTCAGGAGATGCAACCGGAAGACAGACTGTATAGAGAGGTAATGGAATAGAAATTATTTATTGAGAAAATTAGGTTTTCCAAATATTTGAGATGACAAAACCACGCTGTCCATGTCGAAAAAACCATACCTGGTTCTGCATAATTATCTTTTGGTGGATGCCACTCTATAAAAACCACATCCTCCCAAATTTCCCCGGCGTCTTCACGTTTCAGTGAAGATACATCCAAGGGATACATAGAGGAAATTCAATGTTTTGTAGTTGAATATGGAATTTATTTCACGAGTGGGACAGGATTTTTGATATTTTCACGAGTGCACGAGTGAAAATATCAAAAAATCCTGTCTTAAGAGTGAAATAAATTCCATATTCAACTACAAAACATTGAATTTTCTGTTTATTACATTTTCCTTCATTTTTCCCTTTACTCTGTCTTTTTCTAATGCAGTCATAGTCTACATGTACATGACGTCATAGTTGAGCAGTTGAGATGTCATAGCTAAGTGCTGTACGTGAGATTGAACACGTTGTAAACAAGAATTTCAACAGCATATTTGGCGAATCTTTTGCAATTTTATTCTATGTAAGAATGGTTTTTTTATTTTCTAACGGACCAAGGAGTATTTTTTTTTACAACATTCTTTGTTATCGGGAGAAGAATCGAGAGTTTTCCCGCACTTCTGATATTTGTCACACCGTGACAGGATATCATTTTGATATCCTTTCACACTGTGACAGGATATCACTTTTATTCAATGGATAAATTACAGTATTTCACTGTTGAAAATGTAATAAATGTTTTTATCTGATGTTGAAGAAGAGAGGGGAGATACATGTCTACTTTCCTCTCTTTCCTCCTGCTGATTATTTACAGAGTCTGATCCACATGTTTCTCTGCTGGCACTTAAATATTCATGCCTTGCCTCTTCAAAAGAGTCGTGTTGATAACTTGAAAACTTGGTTCTTTGGAAGAATGCATTGCCAGAACGATCATTTTCAGTCTCTGAGTTATCTGAATCCAGATCCACTTGAGCTAAATTGTTTATTTCAACCCGAGCATTGTCTTCATTTCCGTATAACACAGGTATAGTGTTCTTTTTGATAAGACAAACAGTTCCCTCAGTACTAGAACTGCTACCGTCAGCAGAATTCCTATCGGCAAAGTTCGAACCCTGGTCGACGTCAGTTACTGCATTTTTAAACAATCCTTTTTGAAAAATTCTTCTTGTGAATAAGTTTCTTCGAAGCAAGAAGCTAATTAGCAAAATGATCATTAAAAACACGATTGCTAAAGGTACTACGATTGCGGCGAGAGAACTGGATGATATTTCCGATGATTCACCAGACGAATCTGAAAGAAACCAAGATAGCACTATAATGATAAGTAATTAATATATTTGCCATTTCTTTTTTTTACAACCATATTAGGCCATTAACAACTGAATACATACCGGTATATAATATGTAGATTTGTATTGTTTTAATTTTAATGATATAACTTCGTTATCTTGACCCTCTATCTTTTTTTAGAATATTCAAATTTTACCAAGCAAAGGGTAAGGAATGTGTCCTGATAATCTTTTTGAAAATTGTATTTAAACATTATCTACATTCATTAACTGGGACTTGAGACCATAGTGTCATTGAAAACTTTTTAAATGAAAAATTGTATATGACAAAATTTCAATTGAAAAATACAATTTTTTGAAGTGGAAAATTAGTAACATGATCAACTTTTCTGGGCACGCGTCCGTCTTGGGGCAGACAAAAATTGTTTCTCTCCATTACAGAAGATTTTTTTGGAATCTTAGCAATTTTTTCAACTTTATATTTTTAGTAGATAAAAAAAATGTGCAAGTGCCTTGCTATAATTCTATTTTCGTAATTTTTACACGTTTTTGCGTCATGGTATATTAGAGAAGTGCATCAACAGATGCAAGTTTTGTACACTTACAGCAAATGAAGCATAGAACCAAAATCTCTGAAACTCGAAATGTAAGTCACACGTAGCATTCATGTATCCATCGTATGCTTAATATCTGTACTCAGTGACTTGCCCTAAATTTTTTGAATCTCCCACATTTTCGTCATTGAAGTGGGATTTTACTATTGAAGTGTGATCTTACATGGGGTAGTGGTTTAAACATATAATTTACAATTCAACATTTTATAATTTCAAGAAAAATAATCGATTACTTACTTTCTACTGCTGAATGCATAGTGCTTGATGTATCAGTCACTTTTTCAATATGTGCTTAACAACGAAATACTTTCAATAAAAGATGTGTTATTCAGTCTTATGAAAAATTATTCTATTGAATTCTTTTCATCAAAATATGTTTAATTAGCAATAAAAAGAACAATTTATGCTTTCTGTTGATGAAGATACGAAGCTTCCAATGGATAAAAAATATTATTTTTCGCATGTTATCACTTCGAGTTAATACAGTGTACATAGTTCTAAACAGCTAGCAAGCAAAGGGTAAGACATGTGTTCTGATAATCTTCTTGAAAATTACATTAACATATCAACATCAACAGACATTTATTTATTAGGTCGAGACCATAGTGTCATCTAATTTTTAATTTTTCAACAAAAAAATGTAAATGACAAAATTTTAATTGGAAAATTCAAAATTTTGAAGAGGATAATTAGTGTCATAATCAACTTTTCTGGGCACATGTCCGTCTTGGAGACAAAAATTGTTTCTCTCCACTAAAGTAGATTTTTTCTAAATCTGAATTTTTAAAATCTAATATATGTAAGAGATAAACAAAATGTGCAAGAGCCTTGCAAAAATCCTATTTTTGTAATTTCCCCCGTTTTGGCGTCATGGTGTCGTTTTAAATTTCTACATTGAAAAGAGCATCAACAGATGCTTTAGTTTTGTACCATTTACAGGAAATGAAGCACACAACAAAAATCTCTGAAACAAGAAATGTAAATCACACGTAGCATTTATGTATTCATCGTATGCTTTAATAAATCTGCATGTATCTAGTGACTTGCCTCAAATTCTTTGAATATATCTCCCACATTGTCGTTATTGGAGTGGGATGGTAATGTAGAATGGTGAACTTGGACATGGGGGGGGGGTTTAAATATTTAATTTACAATTCTACATTTCATAATTACAAAGAAAAATAATCGAATACATACTTTCTACTGCTGATGATACAGTACTTGCATCAAAGAGAAAATTTCTCGATGTTTCAGTCTTTTCTTCAGTGCGAGCTAAAACAAAGAAAAAAACAGGAATTTAAATATGTTGCCCAGTTTGGAAAAAATATATAATTGTTTTCTACTGTTTATTTTTTTAAACAGGCTCAAGTTAGATGGTACAAAGAAGTCAATGAATATAACTTAATATATTATATATATATTGAAAACAAATGATTGCAGAAAGCTAGATTTTGAACAAAATAGAAAGTTTACAGCAATTTCTTAATTTGATATTTGCACTCTTACTTCCACAAAAAAAAATGTAAATTAAAAATATAAACATCATTTTAGGCAACCATTTCTTGCATAATCTGTTCTTAATTCATAAGATGAAAAAAAATTAATCAAATACATACTTTCTCCTGTTGAAGGCAATATGCTTGCAAGGGAGAAATAAATCCTTGATGTTTCAATCACTTTCTCAGTTTGAGCTAAAACAAAGAATAGTTTTCATTAACAGATGTGTTAATTAGTCTAATAAAAATTAAATATTTTTAATTTTTTTTCAAAACATATCAAGTTAGCAGACAGACAGTTACAAAATGTATGCTTTCTGATGATGAAGATACAAAGTTCCAATGGAGAAAAAAGACGATGTTTTTGGCATTTTACAGAGAACAACTGCTTTTACTCTCCTTTTAAATCCAGTATAAGGATGTCAGGTTAAAACATAAATTTCTGATGTTGTGTAACAAATATTTTATTTCTCAGAGTGAAAAATATGTTTCAGATGTTCAAAGTGCTTTCAATATCCAAACTTTATTGATTTCATAAAATATTCTCGGGAACAAAGTGAAGACTTCGCCCCAATGATAGTATAATGCCTGTGTAGTTCCTTCTTTTTAACAATCAGTATTAAAATGCAAAAAAGTATGAACTTTCGTTGAATTGGTAACTGAAAAAGGATATTTAAATTAGAATTGACTTTGTTTTACATACAGGTTGATTCTATAGGACATTTATGGGAAGCCAAGCTGTCGAACTCCAGTTTCTCGGTGCATCTAACTTTAATGCTGGCACCACTGATACATTGCAGATGACAGGACGCATACACTGGAACTGATAATGGAGACACGCCCCTCGGACACGCCCACTTATCTCCAGCAGACGTCACATTTGGTAAGGAACCACATCCTATCAGTCAAGAGGTCAGTAGGTTAAATGGAATGAAAAAATCTTAAGTTTTTTCTCCTTCTGTTCCATCGTCTTTATCAAAAATATACATTTTAATATCATTTTTGGTATAGTCCAAAGGTTAAGTGTAATTTACTAGGAGCCAAGTAAAGGTCACAAGCCATAATGCTCGCCGTCATACTGTTCTCAAATTTAAATTTTTGTTTGTTTTTGTTTTCCATATATGAATATCTGTGGTCTTGTATTTTTTATTTCTAAAAAGTATTTTCCTATATATATGTAAGATTCCAAAGTCCGATGGTGACGTTCAAGTCACACTATTTACATCATCCAAGTTTTTTTTAATTTGAAGAAGAACTCAGTAACCTTGAATGATTCAGCGCTGCAGGGCCAAGATTTTCGAGAGAGCACGTTGTTCAAATTCAGAACTAGAGCGTATCAAAATTCTTAGTTTTTCCTAATAAAAGAAGCAGAAAGAAACCCAAATCCAAAGTGAACGCATTTCAAAAAATCATTAGGAAAGGGGGAAGGGTGTATCAGAAAGATTTTGAAGACTTTGTAAATTATACCTGGCGGTCTTAAGTTCACTGAATGGTAGTAAGGAAAAAGTCCGGTGTTCTTCTCGATATATGTTAATACATCTTTGTTTTTGTAGTAACATTCCTCAGAAAAAGCAGGAGAATCTAAGAAGCTGGCACTGGCGTTGCCATAACGACAAAGGTATTTGTCACCTGACTCCAAAGTAACATAACTGTAAATAAATAAAACACATTTAATAGCTATAGGCTTTATTATTTTTTTTTAATACTAGAGTATTATCTAAAAAGGAAGCACATATGTGTAACATTTATATCACGCAAACCGCAAGACATGAAAACTGGGACAAAAGTCAAGATGTTTATACCAGGACATTATTTTAAATCTGTTCAAGGCCAAAACTTACTATCGCCCAGTCTCGCCAGCATCTTTGTTCACGTAAATATCTTCTGGAAGAAATGTTCCCTTGAAAAGAAATGTTTACATGACAGTTTCTTTATTAATTGAATATAAATTTGAATATATAAGCTTGTTACCTCATATCATGAGATGTGAATACGTATATAAATACCGCATGTAGCTGAGGGTTACATTGAAAAATTACAACCCAAGAAAATGCCTCAGCCTCGGCTGACGACGGATTTCGAGGGGGATGTTTATTGTTACCTTCAACTAATTCCTGTATTTATTATATTATACTGAATTTATTATTTTTATAATAATCATAGCTATTGGATAAATAAAGGTGAATACTGATGTACTCTTCGTTTTAAAAAGCCACCCTACCATCTCGACCTCCCTCCTCGATAGCCCCACTCGAAAAAACACAGAGACAAGCAAGCAGGTATAAACATTAGGTATCATCTTAGCACATTTAATCATTTAAAAATTCCCACGTTGACACTCGAATCCTAAAAATAGATAATAATAAAAAACAAACATTAACACCTCGTATCAATGTGTTATTAACAGTATGTGATTGTAAACAATTAGTTTAAGAAATGAAAATAACTTGATTTTAATGTAACGTTTAAGCGATCACAGGTACTTGTGAACAGGACCCCCTATATACACCCCTGGTCAAAACTTTTTTTTTTCTTTTTTTTTTTTTGGTCATGAATTATGTTTCTAGTACTTATTTACAAAGTAGTCCATATGAAAATCCAAAAATAACATAGATTTAACGATTTACTAAAAATGTCATACCCTGGTATTATAAAATAGAGAAAAGGGTATGACTTTTTTTTAATAAATCGTTAAATCTGTTCTTTTTTTTTGGGGGGGGGGGGGGGGGTTTCATATGCAATACATTGTAAATAAGTACTAAAACATAATTCATGACAAAAAAAGAAAAAAAATTTTTGACCAGGGGCGTATGGGGGGGATTCCTGTCCACAAGTACCTGTGTAAGCGATTGGTAATTTAGATAAAATAACAGCATGTGGCACTGTGAGATACTAAAAGGTTTAAATAATTGTTTTTATCAATAAGAACATAATTTCCTTACCATACAGTCATGTGAACATCGAGTTGGTCATTTACAGGGACTGGGCGTTTTATTTTTTTTATTCCATTTTTAATAAATCTGTTTTTAAAAGATCACCATTAGAACTGTGAAGAAAGCACTGGAAAAAGTGGAATTGTTTCCTCTTCAAATGTATTGTAGTGAACCCAAAGAGATCCAGAAAAACTTGCTGACAATTTAATACGACACAATTAAGAAAGCTCTTCGTCGATATCCTCAGTTAATGTCTCAAGTGAACGTTTGTGTGCACTCAAAAACAAATACCTAATGGTTTTCCTCTTAACAGAAACATTGCAGCTGTGCAGCGAAGAGCCGATTACGGATAATTTTTTCAAACCAGTAACTAATGAATAATAGGGAAGAACTGGGTACGGTATGTTTAACGAGGCGGCCCTGTAAAATTGGCAAAAATTAAACGCACGATAACATTTTTTGAACTTTGTTAATTTATTGTTAAGGTTCCCCTTTGTGAAAAATTGGTATCAACTTTCCTCAACTCACGTGACTTTTTGTGTATATAACGTTTAAACCGGTCTAATATTCCGAAATTCACCTATTTTGAACGTTTTCCTCCTCTTCAAGTTTAAATTTCGATGTGGCCGCATCCGAGTACATATGCGAAACTTCGCAGAAAGAACAAGTATATTTTTGTTTCTAATATGCAAGAGAAAAATTGACTGTACAAAAGTGCGGCCACGTCCGTTTTTAAGAAAAACTGTAGTTGAAAATACTTCGTTTTTGGATAGATGTGGCTTTTCCCCCTCATAAAAATCTATACTTTTAAAGAAATTAAATGTTGAAGTCTGAATCTGAATGTGTTATTATCTAATCTATACTTTTACAGAAATTTGTTGTTTAAATCTGTATCTGAATGTTATGAAACCACATAAACTTTTCTTCGTAAAAGAACTATATGCGGTATATTGCATATGTTTGCCCCCACAAAAGTCAAATTTTGAAAACTTCCTGAAATGTGCTGAATTCAATAAATTGTACGAGAAATATAAGTTAACAGAAAATATTATAGTTCCAGAGCAGTGTATTCACAATTTCTGTTTTTATGACGTCACAAACTAGTCCGATTTTATATCCTTTTTCAGAAAGAGGACAAAATGGACAAAATTTCAACAATTTAAGCTTTAAAATTTATAGAGCGCATGTGTGTTCAGGAACAATATTGACATATTTCATTGATATTATCAGTCTACACATTATATCAAAATATTTATCCTGAACACACATGCGCTCGGTGACTTTTATTTAAAGTATCGACGAAATATGTACATTTTTCTGCAAAATTCATAAAAAACTGAAATTTACGTCATATTTGTGACGTCATTACGTAAAAATGACGTCATAACTTATGAAATTATTCAGTGCTTTGAAGTCAGCATATATATACTCCCATGTTTAAGGACTTAATTAAATAGCGGCTGTTTTTGCACATTTGATTATGACGTTATTTATCACAAAAAGTTTGATTTTGCAAATGACTTTAAGTCTGTACGAATCAAGTTGATTAATACAAAGTGCATGCTATTGTACGTAAACCTCGTACATGCTTTATAATTAAATTTCAGTCTGAAATGTGAACATGTAATGCTCTAGGAAAAATTAAATACAATACTGAATGAAAGGAATAATTTATAAAATACTAGTATTACTAAACTGCTAAAAGTCAATAATATGATGAAAGTTTTTAATCAATATAATTGTTCAGCGGAAAATAGGGGTTGTATTTATATATTGCCGTTATTTTCAACGAGGAAACATCTCATCATATATATCAAAGCGTGAAAATATGATAAAGATGGAATCAATCTTCAACACTAAAAACGCATTAAATTTAATCATGCATTTTCCTCTTTTTTTCTTATCATCATCATCATTATTATTAAGTATTAAAATCATCATGCAGCTTTTTTAAAGTATAAATTTGAAATGCTTTCAAAATATAATTTATCATGCTGAACTGTAAGACTATATGACACTGTAAACAATTTACAAGTATTTTTTTCTATTATTAAAAGTTTTAAACAAAATGCTAAGTGTAAAAGCTCAATTCAAGTGTATGTATTTTACATTTTGTGCATGGAAATTTGATTTAGAGAATTCGAAATTAACAAATGTTAAAGAGTAAGGCCCATATACTAGCTTGTCTAATATATATATAAAAATTTGCTTGTAATTTTGTAAAACAAGTTTTTTCTTTACCGTTTTTTAATAAATGATCAAATTTATTTTTTTGTGAAATCCTTTCCACCATGAATTTTAAAACACAAACTTATTTTTTATCACTCGCGGTGTTGTCGATGCATGTTAATTCTCATGCACGAAATATTATTTTTCCGCTCATGTGCAATGTGAATTTCACAATACTAGTGAAAATAAGTTGCTGGTCAACCTAATATATTTTCGCAATAAGTTAAATGAGGAATAAAATAAAATTTTGCGTTTATCAAAATATTTATATTCGTACGGTAAACGTTACAACGTTCAACAAATGACGTTGTAGACATAAATAATGCCATAAACGCAACATTTCAGCAATAAGGGAACTTTGAATTTTTTTAGCGAAAAATCTAGCGAGAAGACACATATTGATTTTTTTATATCAATAGTTTTGATTTTACCTCATCTTCACATTTTGAAATTCCTCCCTAATTCGTCTACGTCTTTAAAAAGTTATCCAAGCTTTTTAAAAGTATTTTCACAAAATTGGCTTAAAAATGAAATATATTTTTTTTAAAAAAAAATGTACTAATGACAATACGCGTTTATAGTAATATAGCATTAAAACTACGTAGGCAAATTTTATAAAAATTTTAAATAATAGATAAATTCTCAGGAACATTATATCAAATTTTCAGGATATGTTTTCTCGTAAGAATTTTTATGCAGTAAACCCGCGACCTACCTTAAGGACTTAATTAAATATTACTCCATCAAAGTTTGATTTTGGGGGGCAAATGTTGGTTAATACCGCATATAGTTCTTTATCAAGGGACATTGCATGGAAATAAATGACGCAATACATTAAAAACATGACGTCACAATGAGCCGGCATATGTTGAATAACCAAATTTTTGTCTTTAAGAAGACATGCTTTTCCAGATTATCGCTGCATACTATCGATGTAGTTTACGCTTTATATTAGGACTTTTAAGAAATTAATGAAGTCATTAATAAGACATTGCTTTTTGAAAATTAATTTTAAAATAATTAAACAACTGGGGATGTAAAATTGTGTTGTTTTTATTAGTTTAAAAGAATTACAACCAAACGGAAGTGATGGGAATCCAAGAAATAATACATTAGATCTAGCAACCATGATGCTTGTTTACATAGGATATAAATGTTTGAAGTTAAATGACATTCATTAAATCTGGGCATGAATCCGAAGGAACTGGGGAGGGGATTGATGGATCCAGTATCAGCTGGTTGAAAGGGGGTGTGTGCACATCAATCTGAATTTTACAAAATGTTATGCGTTCCGAAATCAAGAGAGACAAGAATACAAACAGAATTAAATTATTCCATAATAAAATAATAATATGATAAATTTTTAATCAATATAATCAGTGGACATAAGTTTACATTTATATATGTGCCTCTTTTAAAAAGTTCTGTTTCATATATAGGTAGTGTGATATTCATTGGATGTTTGAAATTTTATTGAAAATCATCATGAGCTTTTTTCAAATATTTAAATTAAACATTTACATTGAATGTTGACATAGTGCTTTAAAGCAGGTTTAAATAAACATCAATTTCAAAGGCAGTTTTTGCCTGCGCCGAGCCCCCCCCCCCCCCCCCCCCCAATCCACAGTGATTTTTAAAAATTTGCTTGTATTTTGTAAAACAAGCATTTATTAATAAATTAATTATTTTTTTGTTAAGTGCTAGCATTAAACACAAAAAAACTTACGTATTGTTAGATAACCCAATATTATTTTACCGCCATGGCAATGTGTTCTTAAATTCCTGCAAAGTGACGATTGGTTTGCTAAATCAAATGAGGGCACATATTATAGTAGATGTTCGTTCCCCGGACCCTGCCAGGAATGTGCCCCCAACCCCCAAGGGACTTCAACGCAGCTCCAGACACCTTGTCCTCAATACCATTCCTATATTAAATAACATACATGTAATTTACAAGGAATTTAGATAATGAAATAATTTTTTTTTGAAAAAAATTGGGCTACAGTTGTAAGTTTTGGCAAATTCTATGTAATTTTTGAAAGATGCTGCAATCAACTATTTATTTGTGTCTGAATAAAGATTTAACAGTTCCCAATAGCAATTAACAAATATATACAAGTGTAGGCAATTTTAACATATTATCACGTATATTTAAGAAATAAAAACAAGCATAATGCATTATTTTATATCAAGAGACATGTCCTTCCGCTGCATACTATCGATGTATTTAGCTCGATTAGGACTTTTTCAGAAATTAATGAAGTCATTAATAAGACATTGCTTTTTGAAAATTACTTGTGTTAAAACGAATGTATCAGACAGAATACTGTTAAGATTTAAAAGAATTTCAACCAAATTATCCAAGAAATAATACATTAAATATGTCATAGGATATAAATATTGATACAAATGACATTCATCAGGGCTGGGAAGGTGGGGAGGGTTGTCCAGTCCAGTATCACCTTAGTGAAAACGGTGCACATCAGATCTGAATTTTAAAGATGTCAACTTCCGTCAGTGATGATTATTCGTTCCGAAAAAATATGAAAAGTATTTTATCGTTACTACAAGAACAAATGACGTAAAACATTGCGAAGGCCCCAAAAAGTTATTGTTTCCAAAGGTAGTGTGACACGATTGGACTTGAAATTATTATTGTCACTGAAATCTATCAAATATCTACAAACATTTACATTTAGGAGGTATTGTAAAGCATAATCAACATCAATTTCTTAGCAGTTTTTGTCTCAGTAGATGTCACGAAGTCACATAAATGATGTAATACATATCAGCTGTTTGTGAGGTATATTTTAAAAGAATTTTTCATTACAACTACTTTCAAGAAAAAAAAAATTTTGGCAATCTCGCTTTTACTGGTAATCGGGAATGACAAACCAACTTATAAAAAAAATGCACGCCACACGCTTTAGTTTTCATTAGTTTTCGTATATTAATAACATACATGTAACTGCAAAAGTGTAGCTTATAAAAATGTTTATAACGAAAAGGGACTTGAACTAAGTTTTGGTATTTTTAGATTAAGTGTTTTGTTATTCTGCATTTCGATTATTTGTATTTTGCTTCATTTAAATAGAAAAATATATAGAAGTGGGGGGGGTGGGTGGGTTACTGATT